AAGATTTATTTTTATTATTTTTAATTATGTGTATGTGTGTAGGTGGGTGTGGGTCTGTGCATGTGCCCTTGGAGGTCAGACATGTCAGATCCCCTGGAGCTGGAGTTGGAGTTACAGGCAGTAGTGAACCACCCAACATGGTTTCTGGGAACTGAACTCATGTCTGCTGCAAGAGCAGCAAGCGCTCTTAACCACTTAACCATCTCTCTAGCCCTAGAGGTATTTTTATTACTGTTGCTTTGTTTTGCATTTGTTTGTTTTGAAAGAGGAGCTTCTTATATGGCTCTGACTGGCCTAGAATTTGCTATGTAGACCAGGATGACCTCAAACTCACAGCGATCTGCCTGACTTTGCCTTCCCAGTGCTGGGATTAAAGGCTTATTAGGAAGCAAGATCAGTAGATTCAGGCATCGGGATTAATAGAAAGCAAGGCCCTCAGGAAAAGACTAGTACACACCCAAGTGTGGTTGTGGGCTTCTGAAGAGTCTTCATTAAGTCTCCCTAGCTGCATACAGAATTTTGGAGGCTTTCAGAATTGCACTGCTCAATTCTCTCCTCTATCTCTTTTGCTTGTTTTGAAAAGTGAGGTTATAGGGTGGGTCTGGAGGTGCCTAGGGTAGGGCTGCAATCTTCTAAGATATAAAACCAGGAGTCATAAAACTTACACAAGAGGAGGCTCTTGGGAGTTTCCTACAAACTTACAGGTTTACAGTTGGGAATGCTGTTCCAAGCAAGCCTAGTGACCTGAGTTTGATCTCCATGCGCCACATGGTTAAAGTCATTTTTCATGACTCCCTGAAAAATGTCATCTGAACTCCGTATGTGTGCTGCACCCCCTCCCCACCCCACAATTTAAAAAAATAATATTGTCTCCATGTAGGCTACCTTCATAGTAAATGTTAGTTGTGCTGGAATCCTTGACTCTCAACCACAAGAGGCTTCAGCCATGCTCCAGGTGAGGAGCTACTCTCCCTCCCATGTCCCCTTAACTTCCCTGACTTTCTATCCTGCCTCATTTCGACAGCCCTGGGAACTCTGGCTGCTGGCACACTGTAGCCTCCCACAGAGGCTGTCTCTCAGAGTGTGGAAAGAACCTGGAAAGACTGATGCCACTGCCAGGGTGGAAAGTCACTATTAGGCCAGAAGGACAAACAAAAAGGCATGAGCTGGACCCTTTTTATCTTCCTGTCCTGTGTTCCCTCCTAATGACAGAACCCAGCAGGCTCTTGCTATCACTTATGACATGCCACTGTCTAGTACTGCAGAGTAGAAAAGTAGACTCGAATAGCGAACAAGATGGCTTAGCAAGTAAAGGCTCTTACCACCTAGGCTGATAGCCTTAATTTCAGTCCTGGAACCCATATGGAAGGAGAGAACACCTGGCCTTCAAGTTATCCTCTGACCTCCACACATGGGCTATGGCATGGGCACCTCCCCACATACACACACGCACGCATGCACGCACCTGCATACTCAATTTTTTAAAAAAAATATTTTATTTATTATTTTTATCTTATGGCAATGCCCGTGGAGGACAGAAGAGGCCATTGGATCCCCTGGAACTGGAGTTTTGGACAGTAGTTAGCTGCCATGTGGGTGCTGGGATTTGAACCTGGGTCTTCTGCAAGAACACCCAGTGTTCTTAACTGCCAAGCCGTCTCTCCAGCCCCCATACTAAAAGTTTTTTAAAAGGAAAGAAAAATGGACTACAACTGAGAATCCAGCACAGTTCTTTAAGAACCTAGATGGTCCAGTTGCTGACTGTCTTTCCAGCCCCATTCTCTCCTTTCCTGCCATCATGTACTCAATTATATACTCAATCCCAATTACATTTCTTATTTTCCTCTTATACTGACCATTCCTTCACCAAGAAGTTCTTGTTCTCTCTCTCCTCTCTCTGTCTCTCTGTCTCTGTCTCTGTCTCTGTCTCTGTCTCTCTCTCGTGTGTGTGTGTGTGTGGTGCTAGGAATTGAACTCAGGGCTTTGTACATGTTAGGCAGGGGTGCCACTACTGAGCTATGCCCCCAGCCCTTCCTTTGGATCTTCTTTGTTTAGAGTATAATTTACCAAATCTATTTTGGGTGAGAGGGCATTGAGCTCTCACATTGCCCAGGCTGGCTTTGAACTCCTGATCCTCCTACTTCTACCTCCTGAGTACTGGGATTACAGGTGTGTGCCATCAGGCCTGACTATAGCTGCCAATTCAAAGACAATTTCTCTGACTTCATCAAGGTAAAGAAGCAATTCTCCCCTGGGCTTGGTGAACCAGAAGAGGATGATACTGAACTGGTGATCCTCCTCCCTCCACTACTCATATGCTGGGATTACAGGCATGTCACTACATGCTGTCTATGTTATGCTTAGGATCAAACCCAGGGTCTTATGCATGCTAGGTAAGCACTCCACAACTGAGCTACCTCCCAAGTCCTGTTTTTGTTTATCATTTTTTAAATTACCTTTTTGCTGGGTACAGTGGTACACAATTGTAATTCTAGCAGTAGGAAGCTGAGGAAAGCAAATAGTAAATTCAAGGCAAGTCTGCCCCTGTATAAATAAAAGGTTTAATTAATGATTTGTTTGTATGTTTGTTTTTGAGACAGGGTCTCCCTGTAGTCCCAGTTGGCCTGGAACTCATTATGTAGACCAGGCTGGCCTCAATCTCACAGAGATCTGCCTGCCTCTACCTCTAGAGTGCTGGCATTAAGAAGTGCAACACCATGCTTGGCTAATGATGTTTTTTAATTAAAAAAATTACATTTATTGCATTGGGTATGGTGGTATATGCCTTTAGTCCCAGCAATCAGGAGGCAGAAACAGGTGAATCTCTGAATTTGAAGCCAGCTTGAGCTACATACCAAATTCCTGAACAACCGAGGTTATATAGTGAGACCCTGTTTCAAAAAACAAAACATTTATTTGTTTGTGCATGCTACACAGTGCATGTGTAGGGGTCAGAGGACAACTTGCAGGAGTTGGCTCTCTCATTTCACCATGTGGGACCTAGGAATTGAACTCAGATCCTTAGCAGCAAGTGCCTTTACCTACCATGCCATCTTACCACCCTTTAATATTTTTTTCTGAGACAGTATCTCACACTGTAGCTAAGGGTGACCTTGAACTCCCAATCATCATCCTGTCTCTGCCTCCTCACAGTAGCTGAGCATGGCCTAAACTCACAAGAATCCTCATGATTCATCCTACCAAGCTTTGGGAGTGTAGATCTGAACTATCACACCCAGCTCTGAATTAATACATTTTATTTTAGAGTGCCTCTACATATCTCTGGGATCCTTGGGCGCCCACAGCTTAACTTTATCTAATTTTTTTTTGGTCTTTTTGAGACAGGGTCTCCTTGTAACCCCAGCTAGCTGGCCTGGAACTTTCTATGTAGACCAGGCTGGCCTTGAACTCACAGAGATCTACCTGCCTCTGCCTCCCAAGTGTTAACTTTATCTTTACCTTTGTCTTTGTGTGTGGGGGTGGGGGTGGGGCTGGGAGTGGTAAGAGTAGTTGGCAGGGTCTCATTATGTTGCCCTGATTGGTCTGGAACTTGCTACATAGACCAGGCTGGCCTTGAATGCACAAGATCCACTTGCCTCTGCCTCTCAAATGCTGGGATTAAAGGTATGCACCACCATGCCAGCTTTCTTGGTTTTTATTGTCAGACTTAGTTCTCTGTGCTGGTCTTGAACTTACTCTGTAGCTCACATAAGCCTGAACTTGTGATCTTCCTGCCTCAGTGTTCAGAGTAGTTGAGATTATGGCCTGTGTCACCAAGTCCTGCTAACCTCTATCATTTGACAGCAGAGGAAATAGAATCAGAGGGCTAAAATACTCTACTGAAGGTACACAGTGAGGTAGCACAAAGTGTCACTTTCTACTTTGCCCAGTGTTTGCACCTATACCTTCTCACCACCACCCCTTTTTTTTCCTGGTGCTGGAGATCCAACCCAAGGCCCTGTGTCCTAGGCACAAGCCCTACCTCTCAGCCACATGCCCAGCCACTGCACCATTTCATTCTGCGTTCCTACACCCCTGGTGCAGTGGTAAGATCCTTGGCAATGGTGGGGTGTCCAAAATGTTCTTAGTCCCCAAATAGAATGGGTAGTAACCTCTTCCCACATCCCCAGGAGGAAACCTCAGGAAACAGCAGTAACTGGACACCTTCCCTGGGTCTAAAGCAAAGATCAGCCAGGACACCTGTGCCTATCTGGGACCTTGGGTGTGTTGCTACCCACAGGGTTACTTCCCTGGAGCTACATGGTAAGCTGGCAGTCCTGATATTTATCCAGGACCTGAAGAGAAATGGCTGGGTGATCTTGGCATTAAATAAGTTTTCCGTATCGTCTATTACTCCATCTCTAAAAATAGGTAGGTGGGTTGCTCCACATTTATGAGATTCTGAATTTACCCACTGACCCAACTAGCTTTGCCCAGAGTTTAAGATACTGGAGTAAGCCTATTTTCAGTAAGCCTTCCAAACTCAGCAATGAATGGGCCAAAGTGAGGGTGGGGGTCAAAATGTTGAAGATCACAAACTTCTGAACAAGTTAGGATTCCAAAAACCATAAGGAGAGGTCGAGAGTTCAAAGGTCCGACTTCCGGTCAAGCCTAAGATAAACTGGAAGTCTCCAATCACGTTCATCTCTTTGCCGAGTTCTCCAACCGCGTGACGAAAGGGCCCGAGGTGGAGCGTCAGAACTGGAGAGAGAGGAGCTAGCGGACACTCCCTTCCAATAGCAGCTTGAGAGTCCTTCCAGCTCAGCCAATCAACGCTGGGAGATGATCAAATTTAAACACCACCACCACCCCCAACCTCCTCAACCTGGACCTGTCGGGAAAGCGTTTGTAGAAAAGTGCGGCTGATGGCTCCGCCCCCGCCAGGGAGGCAGGGAGAAGGGCGGGCCCTGGCCGCGAGCCGACCTATCACGATGGGCATCCTGCGAAGGAGCGGGCGGCCGCGCCAATCAGCACCTGCAGCCGCGGCCCCGCGGAGCAGTTGGCCACAGTTGCAACTTTTTTCGAAAGCTAGGTTTCCCGGGAGATCCCCGGAGGTGACAGAACCCAGCCATGGCTAGAGGTATTTGCTCCGGTGACCAACGCAGGGGGACGGCCGGGTGCGGAGCTGCGCTACAGAGAGCGCCGGGCGCAGGAGCGGACGCCCGCAGGCATCCCCCTGCCGTGGGGCTCGGGGACCCGGGGACGGCGGGCAGCTGCGGAGCCGGAGGGCTCCGGCTGTCCCCCAAGACCAGTCCTCCTGCCTGGCAGCGCTGTCCCTCCCTCTGTATCTGTGGTTGCCTGGGGTCTAGCCCGCCCCTCCCGAGCTGGCGCATCCCCATGTCCGAGTTCCTGGGAAACTTGAGCACCCGCTCCCTCCAGGGAACCGTGTCGTTGATGCGGAGAGCAGGGATGCGGGAGGAGGTGACCCCGAGGCCAGGACGCGAATCGCTGACCCACATTTTCGGGAGTGCGCGCCGCACGGGCACCTGCCCTCCCGGCGCCCCTGAGTCAGCTCTGCACCGCGAGGCAAGACCAGGCGCCAGTGGTTCATTTCGGGGTGGACCGGGTGCCCTGGCACCTCGCGGAGCAGCCCTTAACCCCGAAGCTGGGCGGGACTCCATCCCAGAGGGGATGGCCAGGATGCGCTGGTGTGGGTATACGAGGCGGTGTGCTTGCCTGCAAGTTCATCTTTGCAGACTTAGCTGTAAGGACAAAAGCCCACGCTGTGCGGCAAAGGGAGCCCCAACCGCTGGTCGTTTCCAGCCGTTGAGTCTCCTGCATGCGAAAGGACCAAAAAGCTGAGCGTGACAGTTGAGTAGAATTACTGACTCTTAAAAAATAAGTTGGAGTGTTATATTTTTCTTGAAATGCGAAGGCATCACGTGTCAATGGGAATTTCCCTTAATTCAATGTGCTCAGTAGAGTAATAATCAGATTAAATTAACGACAAAAGTAGATTAAACGACTCATTCGGGGAATATTTTTTTGAAGCCCTTTGTTTCCTGGCTGTATACCCAATTACATCATTTATTCTCCCATCATCTTTATAGAGTCTTTGGGGACAAGCCTTCCTTAGATGCTAATGAAGAAGTGAGGCATAGGTGAACTTCAGGTTATAGAGCTTCCCAACCCAGTTCATAGAGAAAATTAACGCTAGTTGCTCCCTCCCACCCCACTTTCTTCTTTCTTCTTTTCCTTGTTTTTGTTTTGTTTTGAAATAGGGTCTCATTTGTAGCCCTGCCTGGTCTGGAATTCCATAAACAAACCAGGCCTGCCTCTGCCTCTGAGTGCTGGGATCAAAGGCATGCACCACCATGTCCAGCATAACACTAGTATTTTTCCTTGGAAAAAAAGCGTCTAAAATGACTCTCCGGTTCATTTTGCCCATTGCCTTAAAATCATTTAAACCACTCACTTCAAAAGAGGTGTGGGGAATAAAACCTTGCTTTGATTAATCATAGAGAAAAAAACTAACCATTTATCACTGAAATAATTAAAACGGGAATTATTATTATTGAGATCCAAACAGCTTATTATCACAGTTAATCTTTATAAATTATTATTCTTTTTCAGAAGTCAAGGGTGGAGTCCAAAGTCACAGACTCTAGCCATGTTTTGTTTTGCTACCTGCATTTCTTAGCTAAAGTGAAGGGAAAATTTGTCTAGCTTTCACCCTGTCAGGCTTACAAATCACCTTTGTCATTTATTGGCTAGTGATTTTTATCACCTTGACCCCCATTGTTATGTGCTCCTTAGACTTAATTACTTGTGTGTGTGTGTGTGTGTGTGTGTGTGTGTGTGTTACTGGTATTAGATCCTAGGGTCTCATATGTGTTATGCAAGTACCCTACCACTGACAAGCACATTTTTTTGTCTTTAGACAGGGTCTCATTATGTAGCCCAGGTTGACCTGAAACTCTGACAGTCCTCCTGTCTGAGCTTCCCAAGTATCTGAGATTATAAGCCTGTGCTATTATGCTGGTGAGTCTTCAATATTCTTATAAACTAATAGACATTTAAAATGGCAAATACTGGGTCAGCACTTGGTAGCCAGAGGCAGGCAGATCTCTGTGAGTTCCAGGCAAGCTGGAGACCCTGTCTCAAAAAGACCAAAAAGAAAAAAAAAAAAAAAAGTAAATACTGGGGTTGGAGAGAATGGTTCAGTGGTTAAGAGTAATGGCTGCTCTTGCAGAAGACCCAGATTCTGTTCCCAGCACCCACATGGCAGGTAACAACTGTCTGTAACTCCTGCAATGGCGCACACCTTTAATCCCAGCATTCAGGAAGCAGGGGCAGGGGGAGCTTTGTGAAACTGAGGCCAGCCTTGTCTACATAGTGATCAGGCCAGCTAGGGCTGTAGGAAGACCCTGTCTCAAACAAAAACAAAAAACAAAACAAAAACCTACCAAGTCGTTTACAATACATCACATGAAAAGATCGGTTATTTTCCTCTAGAAAATCAGTTTTTGTTTGTCTTTATCGTACTAGAGATTGAACTCAGGATCTTGTGCATGCTAGGTAAGCACTCTACCACTGAGCTACATCTGCAACCCCTAGAAAATCAGTTTTTGACCAAGAGTAGTGTCTCACACCTATTATCTCAGAATTCAGCAGAGAGTTGGGGGTCATCCTAGGCCATAGGATGAGACTGCCTACTGTGTCCTATAAACAAACTATCCAGATACTAAGTGCTTCTCTGTGGTTTGAAGGGTGGTGTTGTTGGTGTGGTGGTGGTTTGTTGTTGTTTTATTAATAGGAAGATGTTTAAAACCCCAAGTATGTTATTTTTGTTGTATTTTGATAGGGAGATTGTTTTGCTTTTTTGAGACAGAGTTTCAATATGTAGCCGAGGCTGGCCTTAAACTTGAGATCATCCTGCCTATGCCTTCCAAGTGCAAGGATTACAGGTGTGAGCTACTATGTGAATTATTTTGAGGGAGCTCAGTCCATCTCCTTTTCACAATTTCTTCTGTCACTCTCAAATGGCTCCTTCAAATTATTTCCTTCCCTCTACTGTATCTACAGGTCATTATCTTAGCAGCTAGAGTGGCCCCCAAATACAGATTTTATCATGTGATCTTCACTACTCTACTCAACTTCCCCACTGCTCCTTGGGTCAAGTCTGTACTGTGGTCTACAAGGCCCTGCCGATTGCCTGACCTTGTTGCACTCCAGTTGTCTTTGTGTTCACTGTGTATACAAGGCCTAGGATAAAGTAGGTCTTCAGTAAATGTTTGTTGAACAAATGAATTTGTGTATTAGTGTTTAAATTCAAGAGAAGCAGTATGCATTCTTTATGGTAAAATGTACTTATGCAGCAGAAATGGGTTCTGGTCCCATTACTTCCTAGTCATAGTTTAGGCAAGAGATTCATCTGCCCAGAACCTCAATTTCCACGTGTGAAACAGGTATAGGAATTCCTTCTCTTAAACTATTGGGAAGTTTAAAACAATTGATACCATATTAGGGCCTAACACATTGCAAACATTCGGGAAGTGTTAGCTATTGGTGATATTATCATTGCATTATAGGTACCTGAAGTCCTGGGCAACATTACAGTTTGTATTTTTGTTTTGTTGTTGTCTTACTTTATAGCCCAGAATGGCCTCAAACTCACAATGGTCCTGCCTCAGCCTACTAAAGGGAGATTGTAGGTGTGAGCTGCTATGTCCAGCTCAAATGAAATGATTTGTATTGTTTGCTGTTGTAGTCCTTTAATTGAACCCTGGGTTTTGTGTGTGCTGGGCAGCTGTTTTACCATTAAGCCATATCTCTAGCTCTTTTTGCTGATAGGATGTTTGTTGTATACATATAAGAAGATGCAGAGGAAGGAAGGCCTTTTCTGAAACTTATACTGAATGATACGCATTGGCATCTAGATACTGGAGTTGAGGAGTCTAGACTTGTAATGCAGCCCTGGCATCTAGGGGATCTCAGGGTATGGAGCAAGAGCCTGGGGTTGGGGTTAAAATAGTAAATGAAATAGATAGGGTGATCTACTCTAAAACTGTGAATCCCTTGGTAATTTGGCAACAAACTATAAAACTTGTGTGACCCACAGATGTAGAGGTATTTTAGCTGGTTCAACCTGGGCATCACAGTGCCACTTTGGCGTTCTTCCTCCAGTATTCAGGTGCAGTAGTCTTCAGAGAGATGGGCAGAGAGGTACCCCACCTCATTGAAGTGAGTGGTTGGGGTAGGACTCTGCCTTTGAAGGCTGCTAAAGCAAGCTGATTTGGGTGTTAATGTCCTGAGTGGTAGCTTGTCTCTTAATTCTACTCAGTATTATGTCTTCTAACTGGAGGCAAGATGGACAAGTGGCCACAAACAGCCATTTTATTGTAGATGTTGGAAAGTCCCCCCGGGAGGGAGGGGGGTAGGTTATGGGATGCAAGGCTTTGGGGTATTAGCTAGGAAGAAGCAGAAGGATAGACTGGGTAAGTGACTTGGCTGTGGTCACAAAGCACTTCCGAGGCATCTACAAGCAGCAGAAGCTGAGCACCTTCAAGCATCTATGACTGCATGAATCTTTGGCTGGGAGCTCGCATGCCCTAACAGCTACAGCAAGGCAGCACAGGCGGTGAGCTACGCAGCCAGCCAGCCACCAGAGACTGAAACCCTGCCTATGTAGGCATTTTTCTCACTGGGAGGGCCAGTGGAGCGCAAGGTGACTTGCTAAAAACCCTTCTGCTGCACCATTTGCACCCTTTGCTCCTCCCAACCTCAATTTCCTTCCTGGGAGTGCGTTCTCCCTCCTGTATTGGCCTGTGCTGGAATCGAGGTTGTGAGAACTTGGCCAAGCCCCTCGCTTTTCTGAGTTTCAATTTCCCCATCTGTAGAAAAGAGGCTGTTGGGGTTTGAATGAGACAGGGTGTTAGAGAAGCACCCAGCAAAATTATCTTTACTAGCCAGGGCCTCCAACAGGCCAAATACAGAATGCCTGGGTATGATAACCTGGCCCTATCATTTCCCGGTTGTGTGGCCCGGGAGAAGCCTCGAACCTCCCTGGATGCTCAGCATTCCCATCCTCAACTGGGATGCCCACTGAGCTTGCCTCGTTGGGCTCGCTGCCTGCAGACGCGCGCATAAGCACAGGTCTGGGCGCCCCCGCCCGCTGCTGACTCGGCCTGGCACCCGCACTCCTCACGAGAGCTGGCGTCCCGGGTTCTGCCAGCCCGGCGGTCACATTGCAGAGCGGCTGAGGACACGCGCAAGGGGGCGCGCGGGAGCCGGATTCACCGCGCCAGGCCCGCCCTCGCTCCTTCCCCCTGCGCAGCGCAGCACCGCCACTGTCGGCCCCCTCCCCGGCC